CCTGCCCACCCGGGGCACGCTAAGACTGCCATTGAGACTGGGCATGGTGGAGTGTGCCTGTAATCCCAGCACTTGGGAGGCTATAAACAGGAGAATCACTATGAGTCTGATCTAGTAGTGAGACCCTGAACACCCTGTAGACCCTTCCCTAAAATACAGAAGAAAAAAAAATTACACAAATTTCTGATACTTCACAAACTACCTCAGATATTCTCTGATATCTACTACACACATAAAGTTTTTCTGACTATTGTGCATATTTTCATATTGCTGGATTTGCTCCTTTTCTTCCATTTCTCCTCTAAAATGTACAGTTTCTTCCAAGTCAGTAAAGATTCATATAATTACCATAATTCATTAATTCTATACTGACAGTTTATTCATATCTATATCCTTTATATCTAACACAGCAAATGATTTTTTACAGATAATAATGTTAGGTGAATTGAATCCTACAAGCTATTAAAGCTATCCATGGTTTCCTGGCAACAAAACAGAATGAGTTCGAAGAATTAAAACCACAATGTAGAATGAGACTGAGAAAAATGATGAATCAGGGTAACACTTATACTCTTTTGATCAATATACATTTTTTTTCCAGACCTATAAAAAAAAAAATCACCATTTAACAAATGAACTAAAATCTTACAAAGATTTCATTTTCCTAAACATATTCTGCTGGCTAATGTATGAACTAAAAATAGAATTAGATTCAAAATCCCATCTTCTAGTTTAATCATTTGAAAAGAATCATCAACATGTCACTAGAAACCAAACTCTATTTGACCTGAGAAACTGAAAACCACACACTTTTAATAGAAGGTCAACAATTAGAGATGAAGAAGGGAAGAGGGCAAGAGGAGAAGAAAGGGAGAGAGAATAATTGAGGGTAAAAATCATATGTCAAAGGAATAACAGCATGCCAAAATGAAACCCATTATTCTATACAATAAATACACACTAATAAAAGCTTTAAACTAATATACTTCAAAGATTTTAGAAGAAAAAAGTAGGAACATATCAGAAAGATTGTAGGTCTCTAATCCTGCTTCTTCAATTTACTATGTTGCTTGACTTTGGAAATTCTACTTAACATCTTCGAATTTGTTTTTTCGTATGTTAAATGGGAAAGACTTGCTATGTTAAGAAAATGAAATAACTGGGAACGTGACAGTTACCATTTTCAGTTAAAATACATAATTGGTTCAAAACTAAGGAAATGCATCACATTAGTCCACTGAAAATGAGATGAAGATTTTAAGAAAAACGGCCAACTCCAAGTGTGCATTTGTGGTCCCAACTACTAGAAAGGCTGAGGTGGGATAACTGATTGGACATAGGAGTTAAAAATAAGCCTGGGCAATATAGCAAAAATAAATCTCAAAAATATTTTTTAATAAAAAAATCTTTTAAACCTACTGATATTATATAACCTTATTTTTATTAATACTGACCAATGAAGCATTTGCATATCAAAAAATGAATGATAAAAACTTAGAAGGTTAATGAACATTTGTTTTCCATAATACATTTTTTTAACTGTTTAGGAGACCCTTTTATGCCTTACTATAATGTTAAGTACACATATATCATAAAATACCTAGTTTTATAATATACACAATAATATATGTTCGATATTATGTACACTATAGTACTTGTCATTAACTCTAGTCCTCATTGCTCAGCAAGGTAATTACTGTCATTAATATTTTATAGTTAAAATGGGGAGCAGTAGAAATATTAAATAACTTATGCAGAATTATGTGTTTTTAAGCAATGCTAATCAAACTTCTGTATTTAATGTAACCAGATAGCACTGAAAAATTCACAAACACAAACTGATAGCTTAACAAAAGATTTCACTTAGCCTTTATAATGTGTTTAGCTGTTTTTCTCCCCTGCCCACTCTTCTACAACTCACACAAGATAATGAAATGTGCACAACTAAATATACTGAACTAATGATGACATGCTTATTTTTCTAACCAAACCAAGCTCCCTGCCGAGGACAATAATCTCAGCTGTACATTTGAAAACAAAGGCTAAGGCAGAGAAATGCCAACTGCTAACATGACATACCAATTCTCATTATTGTGGAAAATAATCACAGGCTTTGGTTATACTTCTAAGGTAATTCATACATATTTTTAGGCATGACTGTGAGTTTCAGATTCAACTGTCTTTCTGATTGCTTTCTTAATTAATGTACAATATCCTTCATCTCAGTTAATGCTCAGTTACTATAGCATATATGTAACTGACCCTGGTTTCTTCATGACAATTTGCTAACAAGGTCTATTTTCCATTCTATTTATTCTGAATCCAATCCTTATTTTACATCAGCCTACTCTGGCCCCGTACATCTCTGAGAAGTCACCTCAAATAGAATCCTTACTCATGAAACTCCCTCCCAAATCTATACTACCATCATTTATCTAAAATACGCACCTAACCACGTCAATTCTTAAAATCCTTTGAGCAACCTCCAAACAGATGAAGTCTAGTATTTTCAGCAAGGAAAAACAAACTCTTAACTACTACTTACTTATCCTGATCATAGTACAAAAACAAGCAAATTCCAATTGTTAAAAATAAATCACAATGCTAGCTTTATTTACCTATTCCTCATGATTGGGCATGTCAACTCTAAGGCTTTCTACATAAACCACTCCTGAGACCTTTCTTACAGCTTCCTTCCTCTCTATCCTCTTTTGCACAAAGCTATGAAACATAATACGTCAGCACTCTTACTCTCCACAGCATTATAAATTTTCCCACTAACATGGATGATATTCTATTTTTTTACTTCACTACTTAGCAGAGTCTAGCATATGTAGGTACTCAATTCAAATCTAAATAAACTAAACAGGTACTATCACAAACTCTCCATTTTTCCTTTGCACATAGGTTAAATTTGTGTTTTACATTTTTTGCTTGTATGAATCAGATACTTCAAGAAATAAACACTCTATTACCATAGTAAGGAAAAAAAATTTAAACAAAGAGTAGCTACTCAATAAAAATCAAGATATCTATAGAAAATAAAGTTGTAAGTCATTTTATGAAAAAATAGATTCAGAACCACCAAGATCAGAAAAGATAATTAAACTTCCAATAAAATATATTATTTACATAATTATACTTGAATGTCATACATGTTATTACTAATAAGATACAATAGAATTAATTATTCAACCTATAAATAAAGTATCAATTTCAAAAAGACATCTGGTAAACGTCAAAATATATGATGTAAGCACTCAATGATGCAAGAAGTGCATGCAAATATAATGAAAACAACAATCCATAAACCAATGTGTTAATGAATTTGAAGGACTTATGAATATTACCAAGATGTAATTCAATTTGTAATGTTTTTCAAAATTCCAAAAACAGCAAAAGGATTAGAAACTGGATAGCACAGTTCAAGTACACAATAATATCTATCTTATTTCTGAAGTTGAAAAGGAATGCAATTGTAAAATGATTAGTCTGTAAGTTATGGTAAATCACATGTCATTAAGTAGCCAGATATTAAAACAGGGTAGGTAAAATTAAACATTAAAAAGATAATTTTACTATATATAAAGAACATACACACAGAAAACCTGGCTCTTCTTACTGCTGGCATGACAAATGGTTCTTTGCAGTTCTTCAATAATGTTTTAGCTCACCAACATTATTGATATTTCCTTTCATAATACTGTTTATGCTTTTAAAGAATCACCATTATATCATGCACCACAGCAAACACTTGTTGTTCTAGCAATTGGGGAGGCTGAGGCAGGAGGATCAGGATCCACGAGTCGGAAGCCAATGCTGGGTAACACTGTGAGACCAGGTCTTAAAAAAGTATTACTTCATCATAGTTTTTGTATCTAGTTGTAATTAAAGTAAACATGAATCCTGAGCTACCCTCTGTAGAGAATTAATCATGTGCTCTGAGCTATAATTTGTACTGATTTAAAGATACATTCTTACATGTAATAGTTAAATCTTAAATAGCACTGTAGTTGTTTCTATTGCTAACTTACATATATACTATCTTTTAATTCTTCAAATATTATTTATACATTGGACACTGGAGCACTTGGTCTCATATGAACTAATGGGGACAAGAGTGGGATTAATGTCAGATAGCCTGATATTCTTCAAATACAAATCTCTTTTCATAACTTGTTAGATTTTAATTTCCACGCTGTGTTCTTCATTTTCTTTCTGCAGGCTTATTAGCTCCTCTTTTTCTCAACATGTATTATATACCTACAAACCATAGCATATACTATGTTAAAACTTTCTGCCTAAACAGCTGCTTCCGTTTCATTACGATTAATATAAGCTTTAAAAACTAGGTATATTTTTTCTAAATTTACAAGCGTTTGTAAAAAAAATATTAGAATGTCACGTCACTGTTCCTCACTATAAACATTTTCATTACAACAGCTTCAATGTGTGAAATGTCTGATTTTTTACATGTGAATTTCTCCATCCTTTCTCTTCATACAGAGCTATTATTTGAAATCTTAAAAATAGTGAAGTTCCTTGTTGTAAAATTACTTGTGTTCAAGTTTCCATCCTGTTTCTCACTAACTAGAAAAATGTGAATAGTGAAGGTCCAGCGCCCCCAGGGATGAACTGCGACTCCTGCCAACTGGGGCGTGCGGTCTGCCCGTGCGAATTTTCCAGAACGTTCTGCTCACACAAGACCGTCGGCCATGTTGGTTTCCCTCTCTGGTGGAACTCTACTCTCTGCCTTTGAAACTTGAGCCACGGGGTCAGGGCGATGGCAAACTGCGTCAAGCTTTAAAGGCTTATTTTCCGGGCAGAAAGCGCTCTCCAGGCGCCGATTCGGCAATGACAAGCGCTGGCCGCCGGGGAGGCGCACTCGGCGGGGTCTGAAGCCTTTTAATTCCAGCCCTCAGGGAGCAGCGCGGACCGCAATCTGCTGAGAGACGGGGCGCGGGCCGGCGGGCGCTTGCATACTCGAAACCAGTACTTACCAAGGCGAGTTTTTGCGCGAGCTCTCCTCTGCGGGTTTCAGGACGACCCTCTGTATGTTACTGGACATTTTAGAGGGGCGGGGGCCAATGCATGGAGGAACGGGGACGGCTCACAGCCAACGTCGCACGGGGCAGAGACCCAGAGCGAGAGAACTCCGGCTGCAGCTGAAGCTGCGAGCGACGGCGGAGAGCGCCTGCGAGCGCTCCTGAAGGGCGTCGCCCCAGCCTCGGAGCAGAGGCGACGCAGTTCTGAGAAACCGGAAGAGTTGTGGAACCGACGCCGCCCCTCAGCTCTACCGGCCACAGGAATCCGCCCGAGTCTCCGCCCCACAGGGCGACGCGGCGGCTCCACAGCCTTCCTGGGCGGGCGCGAGAGGCGAGGCTCACTGGCCCCGCCCCCAGAGGGGCGGGTCTGCAGAAGACTGCGCTGGTCGGGCTCGGCCGCCCCGCCCATCGACGCCCGCTCGGAGCCAAGTTCTGCCCGGCGGCTTTAACTGTCGTCACGTCCGGTTACCAAGCTGAATGGCTCGCTAAGGCTCCACCTTTATGATGCAATCCAATCAGAAATAACGTCTGTTGTTTCTTCTTCCGGATCGCGGAACTAATTGTAAAATTAGAGTGTCTTGATGCCTACGCAAAGAAAGTGCTTCCGGGGTCAGCGGTAAAAGTTCTACCTTGCCTCTCGCTGCGTACATTTTCCTCGCCTGCCGACGTTTGCAGAAGCTACAAAAGCGGGTTTTTTGAGGTCGTCCTAAACTCGTGGTGTGAGAGATTTTAGACGCCGCCTGCAGCTAGACATTTATTGTTCATGGTATAAAAGAAATGTCATTCTACGCCCTCATCTTTCACTTGTTTTGCTTCTAAACCTACTACATCTCGTCCTCCACTTATTCACGCCTCAAACTATCATTCTCATATAGGTGATTCATGCATTCTCTGAAAGTTTCATTTCCTGCATAAAGCTATTTTTGCCACCTGTGTATGAATCCAAAAAGAACGTTTCAGAACAACTTTTCAGAAATCTCTGGAATCCCGCAGTGAAGTCACAATCTAAGGACTGGTAGCATTCCCTCGTAAAAATTGTTTTGAGTTGGAGCTGGAAAGCTGTTTGAGAAGTTCTAAAGAAAATATGCAGTTTTACCTGATAGATGCAATGCTTATGGAAGAAGACACATGCTATTCAAATTTAGAATGACATAAGGTAGCCAATTGAAAGAATATTTTAATATTTTTTCCCATAGTGGGGATCAAACTCGGGACCTTGCACTTAAAACGTTACTCATTCCTCTAACTCTTTAGTGAGGTAGTACTGATTGGCAAATTCTTCTGCCCTGTGTTTAAACGAAGTGATACTTTCTAACTTCTGTCACTCCACTAAAGGTTTCTTCAATTACAAAGAATTTTGTATCTGTAGCTGACATTTATCTCCAGGCTTCTTTCTCCCATACCAAGGAGGGGGGCAAAGTGGTAAACTCTTAATGCTTAGTTCTGCTCATCCTCCAGTCTCCAAAAGCAAACTTCTTGAAAGAATTCCCCATTCTTGCTTTTCAAATTTTATTACTTACTGTTTATTATTCTTGTTATTGTTATTACTGCAATCTGGCTTCTTATATCCAGCCATCGTCACTCCTAATAAATAAGACTCAGTATCACAGAGTTTTGGTGCGCAGCATGCTTAGTAAAGACCTGTTTCTGTGAAGGAAAGAAAAAGCAAAATTTGGCATCAAGAAATTAAGATGCGGGCCAGCCAGATAGCTCAGCAGACTAAAGCACCTTCTTAAGCAGAGCACAGGGGCTGGGTCTGAACCTTGGCCTGACATGCCAGCCCCACCCCCAGGGTGCGCTGAGACTGCAAATGAGACTGGACATAGTGGCACGCACCTATAATCCCAGTGGTTGGGAGGCTGAAAGCAGGAAAATCACTACAGTTCTGAGCTATATAATGAGACTATGTAATGTACACCCTGTAGACTGTACCAAATACATTTTAAAAAAGAAATTAAGATGCAATGCCTAGTTTCTTTTTTATTTCAAATGCTATGATTTATTGAGCATACTTTACTGGAAGCTTAATAGAAATATTGGCTCAAAGTAATTTGAGCAGAGGATATTTGCACTGTCTTTGATTTCTGGCCAATTCATATTCTTTCTTAAACTGTAGGTGAACCTCAAAAAGAGAAAACTTCTAGGACAATGCCTAGTTTTAACAAAAATGTTGGTGTAGTCCACGTAGAAATCCAAAATTGGGGTGAACTTTCAATGTTTCATCCAGAAGTGTGATTGGGTAGGACTTCATGCACCATAATCATCAGTTACTGCATTCAGGTTGTGATGAAGAAGCCTTCAGATAAGAAAAAGCTATAGTTAAGGTAGTTATCCAGAGGCTCTCAGAGTTGAGGATTGTCTGCTTGTAGCATGTATAGCAATAAGGAAATGAGATTTCTCATTTCTAAGAGTCCTGCATGATGCATCAGGAAATCCACTGTACTCAGAGTCTGAATCTATTATCTGACTCAAGCAGCTGCTTATGGCAGTTGATACCATTTATGGTATTCATTTATAGTTTTTCCAAAACACTATTATTCTCTCTCTTGATGAGATTGGAAATACACTTTCCTGGGTTTCCCTCCAACTTTTTGCCTACTTGTCCTTCGAGTCTTTGAATAGTTTGTCCCTCGTTTTACATAGGGGAATTTTAAAAGTCTTGATTGCTGATCCTACTTTTGCTCAAACTGACTTGCCTACCTGTGTGACTTCACCCATGTCTATAACAACTCAGTACTTTTTTGTGTTGCTGTACTACCAAATACATATATAATATGTGCTAGACACTGTTCTGAATTCTTTCAAAATATTAACACATTAACTTCTAACAACTATTAAAACATTACACAGAGATAAACAAATGACCTGTAGACACTAAAAATAACTTCCCAGGAGTCCATGAAGCTTCTGAATGAAAGAGCTAGTTTGCAAATCTAGGTGGTCTGTAGATACTATGTACTTTACTACTGTTATGCTACCATTAACTCATAAATTTATATCCCCAGTTTTTATTTCCTCTCAGATGCTCTGGCTTTCCAAGTGCGTTATTGAGATCGCCTTTGAAATTTTAAAAGCCTCTTCAAATGAGAAAATATTCAAAGTGAAACATGACTTTCTCCTCACCATCAAAGTTTTCCTTTTATGGTGCTCTATCTCCAGAAAAAAAAAAAATACATGTCATCCTATTAAAAATGCTTGGCAAGTGCAAGGTTCTGAGTTTAATCCCTGGTACAAAAAAAAAAAAAGCTTTAAGTCCAGAAGTCCAGTTGTCATTCTTAGTAATTTTTCCTTTTGCATCAAAACTATATATTCATCACCAAATCTTACAGGTTTTAGCTTCATAATATTTTACACATCAGCTTTTTGTTTCTAACACTACTGTGCTGGACCAAGATGATTTGGCCTAGTTAAGTTTTAACTGATATCATCATGCCTACTTTTGTTTTTCTCCAAACGCTGCCTTTTGAAAACACAAATATTATCATTTCACCCTATTACACTAAAAAGTTGTATTTCTCATTGCTATTGGGTTTAGACCAAAATTTTTATCCTAATCAAGATTCTGAATTAATGTATGTTACTGTCTCCTACAGTACTGAAAAAACAAGTGTATACTTGAAGAATTAATAGCAAAAATGACACAAAACAACAAAACAGCCAGCTATGAGAATTTCAATCTCTAGAAAAATTAGAAGTTCTCTCTTTTTTTTTTTTTTATGGAATGTGCTTTCTTCATCTGCTAAACTAGACGCTAAAATCTGGCTGAGCCATGAGTCTATTCACAGAGTGCGGCCCACGGGCAGAGAGCATAGGTCCAGCTCCTCCTGCCACACACGCGTCCTCCAGGTGGGTGTGGGCCACCCAGCACCTGCGCAGGATGCCGGCCCACGGAGCACACCCTCACAACGGGACGGCACCACACAGTGGCCGCATGGTCAGCGCTTCTTCAGGCTGTAGGCCAGGCTGCTGGGGACCCGGGAACCCTGCAGGGTGGTGAATTCCAGACAGCCGAACTGGTCCGCTTGTGGTAACGGGGCTTGCTCTTCTTGAAGATGTCCTCCAAGTCCAGTGGGAGGATGACCCCAAAGAGCTCGGCCAGGTTGGGGGGGGGTGGTAGTACTGGTGGATGATGGCCTGGCTGAGTTGCGCGCCCCTGGCCCAGGCAGGGACGAGCTTGCGGGGCTGGGCCTCGTCGTCCGTGGAGTCGTCACTGTTCAGGTCCATCCCATAGTTACAGTATCCATCCAGGTTGATCTTCCGGGGATGCTTAGATCCCTGCGGAGTCATTTGATAGGAGGTGCAGGCCGGGGACTGCACGTCCACGGTCACATTCAGGGCCTTGCTGGCCCCTGCCGTCTCCCTAGCTTTCTTCTCCTGCTGCTCCTGCAGCCGCTGCTCGGCCAGGCACTGCTCCTCCTCCTTCTTCTTCTCCTCTAGTTCTCGCTGCAGCCGCAAGGCCTTCTCCCGCTCTTGTAGCTCCCTCTCTGCCTGAAGCCGCTCCTGCTCCTGCCACCGCTCCTGCTCCTGCCACCGCTCCTGCTCCTGCTCCTCTGCCAGGCGCCGAGCCTCGGCCGCCTTGCGCAGCCGCTCCTGCTCCTCCTCCTTCCTCTTCTGCAGTAGCTCCTGGTGGCGCCGCTCCTCCTCCCGCTGCAGCCACCGGAGCCTCCGCGCCTCCTCCTCCTGCCTCCTGCGCGCCTCGGCCTCCTCCATCTTCTTGGCCATTGCCTTCTTCTTGGCCTTCTCCTCTGCCTGCCGCTCTTCCTTGGCCTTCTCTGTCTTCTCCTCGAGCTGCGCGAGCTTCTGCTCCATTTGCCTCTTCTTCTCCTCCTTCGGCTGCTCCACCCACTCACGCGCCTGCAGCACCTTGCGGTGGCACTCCTCCCGCTTCATCTTCTCCTCCTCCTGCTGCCGCCGCTTCTCCTCCTCCACCTTCTGCTTGCGCAGCTGCTCAGTCTCTTCCTTCCGCCGCAGGTTCTCCAGGCGCTGTCTCTCCTTCTCCTTGTTAGCTGGGCAGGGAGGGGAGGGTGTCTTGTTCTTTGGGGGCTGCAGCTCCTCATCCACCAGGGAAGTCGCCTTGTCTAACTCGCTCATCGCCCGCTTGTAGCTGCGCTTCCCCCTGACGCTCTGGGGTGGCTCTCGGTATCCATCGGCTTCGTCAGCTGCAGCCCCTTGCTGCCCTTTGGGGGGCATCTCAGGGTCACTGGGGCCGGGCTGTGAGTCAGGTGTGTGCACGGTGGTCTCGGTGGCACTGTGGGGCAGCAAGGTGTCCCCACCGCTCCCAGGCACCTGGGGCTTAGCTGCTGCCGCTGCAGGTGCAGCCTCCCTGCTGGGTTCCT